CGGACCCCCGGGGGGGCCCTCCCCCGCGGAGCCGGAAGAGACAGGCGGCGGGCGCTGTCCGGAGCACAACGACCGCGTGGTCGAACTCTTCTGCCGCCGCTGCCGCCGCTGCGTGTGCGCGCTATGCCCAGTGCTGGGCGTGCACCGCGGCCACCCGGTGGGACTGGCGTTGGAGGAGGCAGCGCAAGTGCAGGTGGGGACCGGGCAACCCACGGGGGTGGGGACAGTTCAGACGCAACTGATGAGGAGGGTCTAATTGCCAGTACTGGTCAGACCCTGGAGAGCAGAAGGACCCTGGTGCTCATCCAGGCGGTCTACCTGTTTCAGAACCAGGGACTGAGGCCCAACGATGGCAGAGCGAGCCAACGCCATCAACTGAGCTTCAGAAGAGGCGGGTTTGGAAGTGAGAACTCGGGTGCCCAGGCTGGTACTCAGGAGTCCTTGATGTCATCCACCATGGGGGTGGGCATCCACCGCACTGCCCTGGGCTGGAAGAAAATCTGCCTGTCCTTTAACCAGGGTAAGACCCTCTAGGGTAGAAAACAGCCGCAGGAACATTTGTAGGTCACTCCACCAGAGCTGAACTGTGAACCGAGGGCTCCCTGATTGCCCTGGGAGCAGCCGAGATCATCTCTACCTGCCAACTACCCCCCTCCACAGACACTCCCAGTCCAGCTTCTAATAGCCAGGCCAGCTATTACTGCTATTATGGCCAGCTACAGAGAACAAAAGGAAAACTCTGGAGGCATGGCCAGACCTTGAACCCAGGGCTCCTCCAGCAGACTGCCCACATGGGAAACCCTTCACCCATGCTTAATCCTAACAGTGGCCAGGGGCACTGAGCTGGTGGCTGACTTGGTCTGTGGTGCTGGTCATGAAGAGGTCATGCTGGCCTCTACCTGGGCGTCATGAAGGCTGGGCAAGCAAGCCTTGGGGTTTGCAGCCCTACGGAGCCCAGCAACCGGCAGGCCCACTCTCAGGACGCTCCCCATTCACAGGGCAGTCAGATCTAGGCCCAGCCACTGAAAGGCCAGCTGTACGAAAGACTAAGATGGAGATAGAATCCCAGCCGTGGGGCAGGGGAACGCAGGTCAGGCCTTTGGAAAAATAACATTTCAAAAAGCTAAGATTTGGAAGGTGAAGGAGGGAGGGAAGCAAGAACCCCAGGGACCCTGCTCCAAGTCCAGGCTGGAGGGCCACAGACTTTCTGGAGTGCGTTTCACGAGGTCAGTTCCTGGAACAGGGCCCAGCATAATGTAAGTGCTTAATGTTCACTCAGTGGGAAGGGCCTGTAGTGCAGCCATTGAACACTGTGTAGAGGAAATCAGCTCTAGCATGCCCGACCAGGGTTCGAGTCCCCGATCTGACAGCTTAAAAAATGTGCTGGGCACATGTGTCCATTCCCAGGGTCCTGACAGGATAAAGAGTGAAAAGATTCAGGTCAACCGGTAACATCATGGCTAAGGGGCTTGATCCCACATGGTTACACTTGGTTCTAGGCCTGGACTCAGTGGTTTGAAAAACACAGAGTGTATATGTGTGTACCTAAAATCCTGAGAGGAGAATGGAGGAGAAGGGATGCAATGCGGCCATCCCTCCCGGAAGGTGATTTCTCACATTCCCTCTGTCTCTCTGTGGCAAGCACATGTGCCCCATCAAAAAACTAAAAAATATTAATAAATAAGTAATTCAGTAATTATTCTATCTCTCTCTGGCAAGCACATGTACCCCATATAAAAACTAAAAAAAAAAAAAAAAAAAAAAAAAGATAAATCATACAGCCGTTTGCCACACCCCAAGCTGCTTGGTTAAGGCCCTATTTGAATGATTGGAAAAGCTGGTCATAAGCAAGATATGTCCTAGGAAAAAAGGGGGTGTACCAGATCTGAAGAGTGCCTGCGTGTTCCCAAGGATCAGAGGGGCCTTTGTCCAGCTCAGCCTCCCACTCGCTGCATGACTTTGGGCCAGACATCTCACCTTCGGAGTCATGAATACCTCAGTTGAAAACGAACACAAGGGTGGGGTCCAGCAGGTAGTGGTGTGGTTAAGGTGCTAGACTCCCACATAACCAACCGAAGTTCAAGCCCCAGACCTGGTGGCTTGCTTTCTCACTCTCTCTCTGTCTCTGTCTGTCTCTGTCTGTCTCTCTCTCTCCTCTCTGGTGAGGCACATGCAAATAGCAAATTTAAAAGTCATAATGATCATAATACATTTTTAAAGAAAGAATATAAGGGTGACAGGAGGCAGCCCCTGGTTCGTGATCTTGGAAGTCACAGCATTCTGACTTTTGTCTTAACTTCCTCCCTTGTGGACAGAAATTCACCCAAGAATGTTTGAAACAGTTGGCAACCAAGAAGCAGCAGCAAGCTGACAACGTCACTCAGATAGAAGATGCAGCGGAGAAGCTCAAGGCAAGCGAATAACTCTTCCTTATTCTTTTTATTTATTTATTTATTTTTTTTTTATTTGCTATAGGGTATGAGTGCTCTCCAGAGAAAGAGAGAGAGAGAAGTGAGAAATCACCCCCCCCAGGGTGGATGGCCACACCATAGTCTCTTCTCCATTCTCTTCTCCGGGATTTTTTCAGCATGCACATGCACATGCCCAATGTGATTTTCTTCTTTTAAAAAATATTTATTATTATTATTATTATTCACCAGAGAGAGAGGAGAGAGAGAGCAAGCTGCCAGGTCTGGAACTCAAGCCATGGTCGGCCATGTGAGAGTCCAGTGCCTCAACCACTGTGCCTCTGGGGTGGTTTTTCAAGCCTCCAGGTCCAGAAATTGAACTGTGCAGTCGATCTAGCTGCCTTAACCTCCACGCTCCTGCTGACCCCATTTCTTCCTTATTCTACTGAGATGCCTTATTCTGTTGATTTTTCCCTCAGATACAAGGGTCCCCCAATATGCAGCCAAAGAACAAAACAACCCCAGAGGGCCAAATCAGACTTCATGGCCTGGAGCTTCTGTCATTTAGGGGACCCTCTTTGAGAAGAAGAACACAAAATTACAGACACAAGTAGGCTAAGACCACGAAGGAGAGGGGCCCTGAGGCGCCTGGTGTATGAGCTCTGTGGCAGAGCTACTTCTGCCCAGCACCCTAGCCCTGCCCCCATGCCTCACAGATTAGAGGACTGCGCTTTTCTCCTGCCTCCTCCAAGGCCCTTCCTTTGCATCAGCCGCCACTCTCTCATTCTCACAGAGGGGCTAGTCCTCTATTTCCCACACCCCGAAGCGCCTTAAGCAAAGCAAAATACAACTTAAGGAACATGCAAACATGTCTTGAGATCTCATGCCATGTTGAAAGAAAGTTAACAGTGAGCTGGCCGTGTAGCCTAGTGGTAAGCGAGCCAGACCTCCATGGCCAACCGCAGTTTGAATCCCAGCCGCATGAAAAACATATCTGGTACATGTGCATGCATTCCCCAGATCCTGACAGGATGGAGAAGGGATTATGGCGTGATCATGCCCCGCTGAGGGGTACTGTCTCCCTCTCTCGCTTTTTCCATCTCTCTCTAGTGAGGGCATGCACCTTCTGGCAACTAAAAAAATGTTTTAATTTAAAAAGAAAGTAAATAGGATATAAATAAATTCCATACATAACAACTTTCTTTAGGTTTCCTCTTTCATAATGATGCTTATTTGAATCGATTTTTTTCTGTGGGTTTTTTTTCTTGGGAGGTTTTTGCTATAGGGCACGCGTGCTCGCCAGAAAGACAGAGAGAGAGACAGATAGAAAGCGAGAAATCACCCCCCAGGGAGATGGTCACACCACAATCCCTTCTCCTCTCGGGATCTTGGGCATGCACGCACACACGCCCGGCGTGAGTTTAAGCCACCAGGTCTGAGACTCAAACCACGGTTGGCTACATAGCCATTACACTAACTGCTGGTCCCTTCTGTGGGTTTTAATAGGAAGTTGAAGCTAACATTATTGTAAGTAGCCATTTGTTTTTAGAATTTTTTAATTTTATTTGTTATCATTATTATTATTATTTAATTTGACCACAGACAGAGAGAAAGAGAAAGAGAAAGTGAGAAAGCAAGCTGCTAGGTCCAGGACTCGAACCATAGTCGGCCTGTGGGAGTCTGGCACTTTAACCACTGCACCACTTGCTGGCCCCATAAGTAGCCATTTTGACTGTGAAAAAGCTGAGGCATTTTTAGGGGCTTTTTGTGTGAACTCAGGCCAGTCCTATTCTCTCTCAGCCTCAGCTCCTTCCTCAGTGAGGGCCGAGGGGTTGGGAGGCTCTCTGCAGCCTGTCCCATCGAGAGCTGTGTGAGCCCTTGAGTGTCCCATGCAAGTCAGGGAGGAGGACTCACTGACCTGGGAGTAGCTGGCACCCATATCTTCCTAAGACCAGGCCACAGACAAGTGGGACTGGGGCTGGAGACCACTGCATGCTAAAGCCCAGACCAGGTCACAGAATCGGCTCCCCTATTCGCTCAGCATCCATGATTTGTCTGTAGGCCACAGTATACCGGAGATGTTTGTGTTTCTTATCACTGGCACCAGCTTAATTAATTTTTTAAAAGGAATGATTTAATTTTATTATTATTTTATTATTTTTAAATGTTCTATACAGCACATGCACTTACCAAAGAGAGCAACAGAGAGAAAGTGAGGAAACAAGCCACCATGTCTGAGACTCGAGCCACAGTCAGCCTTGTGGGAGTCCAGGGCCTTAACTACCATACCACCTAATTAATTCATTTTTTTTTAAAGTCTACCTATTTTTCCCAGACAGACAGAGACAGAGATAAAGTCAACCCCAACATGCTCCCCCTGCCATGATCCACCCGCTGTCTCAGCTGGCCCAGATCAAGGGCATGCATGCCCACACAGCATCCTCCAGGAGGCCTCAGGACCCAAACCCAGGACCTTTCCCATGTGGGTCTGGTTGTTACCGCTGTGGCACCACTGGCCCTACCAGCCAAATTATTAATAGCATCCCTATGTCTTCAAGAGTAGGTCTCAGGACCAGTAGATAGCATAATGATTATGTAGCTGGACTCCCATGTAGTCGACCACAGTTTGAGTCCTGGATCCAGCAGTTTAAATTCATGACAGACATGTGTGCATGTGTGCCCAAGATCCTGAGAGGAGAATGGAGGAGAAGGGATTGCAGAGTGGTCATCCTCCCGGCAGGGGGGGTGATTTCTCACTTTCTGTCTCTCTGTCTTTCTGGCGAGTACACATGTCCTGTAGCAAAAAATCTCTCTTGGAAAAAAAAAAAAAAAAGTAGGTCTCTGAGCTCAGAAAGACAATCAGTTCAGAAGGATTGGGTGGGAGGCCCTGGGCTGATCTAATGAGAGACCTGGAACAGGTTTGCTGTCTGCAGGTCTCTGAGCAGATGTGGTTTGTGGGCTACTAAGGAAAGAGGGTCAGTCTGAAAGTTCCAAGGGAAAGTTCCGGTTTGGGCAGGTTTCAACTTAATCTAAAAATCTTTCATTTGGGAAGTCCGGCCCTGTGGCCTGGTAGTTAGAGGAGCCGGATCTGACATAGCCAACTGCATGGTTTGAATCTCGGCCTTAGGCACGTTGAAAAGTATTCTTGGTGTGTTTGTGTGAGTGCACAGGATCCCAAAGGATATTCAAATGGAGGAGAAGGGATTGCAGTGTGGCCATGTCCCATTGGGGGGATACTTTCACCCTCTTCCTCTCTCTGTCTTTGACTGGAGCACATGCACCCTCTGGCATTAAAAAAAAAAAAAAGAAAAAAGTTTTCCTTCTTCTGGCCCACTTCCCTGCAACTTTTAAACTTAGTCCAGAGAAGTTTTGTGTACCTTCACCTTACTCGCCCCAAGGGTTCTCTTGCATAACTATGGTACAATATCAAGTAATCAACAGCTTGCCCATGATCCCAACTGGCTGGGAGGGCAGGATCGTGGATCAGGGCATAAGGCCCTGTTGAGAATGCCTCTCTCTCTCTCCCTCTCTCTCTCCCTCTCTCTCTCTCTGCCTCTCACACTCATGAAAGAAATAAACTTAAAAGAAAAGCAAATAAGAGGGGCTAGACAGTGGTACAGCAGTGAAATGCAGTGCTCTGCAAGCCTGGCCCATGTGGGAAGGCTCCCGTTCACTTCTGAAGACCTCCCTGAGTACGCCAGTTGCCCACGTGCCCATGATCCGGGGCTGGCTGAAGCCGGGGGGTAGATCACAGCATGGGGACTTTTTGGGGGGTGGGAGGTGTTGCCTCTGTCACTTTCTCTCTCACTCATGGGAGAAATAAATACACTTTGAAAAAAAAAAAAAAGAAATATTGACTGTATGTATATAGTTCAATGGTTCAATGTCAGCTTATCGTGTGTAAATTTGCATAACTACCACTGCAGTCAAAACTTACCTTCTGCTGCAACTTTACAATCACCCTCACTGTCTTCCCTCAACAGTCCCTCAACCTCAGCAATCACTAGTTTGTTCTCTATAATTACAGTATTTGAAAATGCCATCAAAATGGAATTATGCAGTCTGTGTGACCTTTTGAGATTTCTTTCACTCAGGACAGCGACCTTGAGGTCCATCCAAGTCGTTACGTGCACGGGCAGCTCCTTCGTGTGTGTTTTGAGTATTCCACCGATCCAGGAGTAAGGTTGTGCCGCAGGGGTGTGTGGTGTTTTAACCATTCATCTCCAGTAGATGTTTGGTTGTTTCCAGTGCAGAGCTATTACAAATAAAGCCGCTTTGAACAGTTGCACACAAATATGCTTGTGGACAAAGTTTCATTTTCTGAGATAAAAACCTAGGAGTGCTATTGCTGAGTGATTTGATACCTGCATGCTTAGTTTGTTTGTTTTTTTTCATTGCCAGGAGGTGTGTGTGTTTGCCAGAGAGAGAGAGAGAGAGAGGCAGAGACAGAAAGGGAGAAAGCACCCCACAACAGGGCCTGGTCACACTCAGTCCTTCCCCTCTATTTCACCATCCTGGTGGGATTCGGGGCATGCTCCACACACATGCTCGGCGTATTTTTCAAATCACTGGGGCTGGGATTCCAGCCCCCGTCAGGCCTGTGAGATCCAGCTCCCAATGCACAGCACTTAACCACTGCACTACAGAGCTGGTCTAGTTTTTCATTTTGGCGAGGTCCAACTTAAGGATTTTTTTTTTTCCCTTTTATGGATTATACTCTTGGTGTCATGGCCAAGAACATATTGCCTAGTTCAAAGTCCCAAAGACTTTTTTTCTTTTTGCTTTCTCCCACCCCCCTTTTTTTTTTTTTTTTTTTTTTTTTTTTCTACATA